AGCATTAAAACAAAATAAAACACCATTTGAATTGTGGCATGGTAAAAGGCCTCGAGTAAAGTATTTAAAAATTTTCGGTTCCACGGTTTATATACATAATAAAGTCAGAAAAACAAAATTTGATGAAAAATCGTGGAAAGGTATATTAGTGGGATACGAACCCAATGGATATAGAGTGTGGGCGAAGAAGCGTATAAAAACGGGAAAAAGGGCAGCGGCCCACACATTATCGTACCTAACCATCGACCAGCGAACCAACGTCATTTTAATATCCGTCGTTTTAAGCCCTTGTAATTCTTTACTCTTATATGTTAGTAGATCATAAATCTGAAAATAGTGAATCAGATGTTGCCGGGCCGAGTGTAAAGAAATTAGTTGTGGAAACTAATAAACCTGCAACTGAAAGAGGTATTAATAATGAATCTTCATCTCAAAATGACAAAAACAAAATGCAAGAAATACCTGAGCCTAGAAGGAGTGATAGGATTAGACAATTACACCCTGTATCTTATGATGAAGGTAACACAGATTGTGATTACCTTATGTGTGCTCAACCTTTCGTACATAAAGCTCCCAGTTTATTTGAAGAAATTGAAACCAGGCATGATAGAGTTCAATGGGAACAGGCTATTAACGATGAGATTGATTCTCTGTTAAAGAATAAAACCTGGACTTTAGTACAAAAGCCTGAAAACAAAAATATAGTAGATTGTAAATGGGTATTTACAATTAAAAATAATGAATTTGGAAATCCAGAAAGATACAAAGCCCGTCTTGTTGCTCGTGGTTTTAGCCAAGAATATTTAGTTGATTACAATGAAACTTTTGCGCCAGTCGCAAGAATTACAAGTTTCAGATTTATAATTGCTTTTGCGAACCAATTTAATTTATTAATACACCATACGGATGTTAAGACTGCATTTTTAAATGGTGAACTAAAAGAAGAAATTTATATGAAAGTTCCTCAAGGAATTAAAAGCAAGGTTGGTCAAGTTTGTAAATTAAACAAAGCCTTGTATGGTTTAAAACAAGCAGCAAGATGTTGGTTTGAAGTATTTGAAAAGAGCCTTATAGAAAGAGGTTTTCGAAATTCATCTGTCGATCGATGTATTTATATTCTGGATAGAGGAAATATATCGAAAAATATATATGTAGTTTTATATGTGGATGATCTTGTGATTGCTACTGCTGATAGTGAAACAATGAAAAATTTTAAAAGTTATTTAATGAATAGATTTCATATGACAGATTTGAAAGATATAAAGTTCTTTCTTGGAATCAATGTCAGAAAGAATGATGATAAAATAACTTTAGATCAAAGTGCTTACATAAAAACAGTTTTAGAGAAATTCAATATGCATGATTCTAAACCCGTAAGTACGCCCCTTCCAAGCAAATTAGATTACGTAGCTTTAAATTCGGATGAAAAATGTGAAGCACCATGTCGGAATTTAATCGGAAGTTTGATGTATATAATGGTGTGTACGCGGCCTGATTTGTGTACTGCAGTTAATATTCTAAGTAGATATACGAATAAAAATAACAAAGAACTCTGGCAAAATTTAAAACGCGTACTAAGATATCTAAAGGGTTCAAAAGATATTAAATTGACCTATGTAAGGAACAATTATAGTAATTTATTGAGTGGCTATGCTGATTCTGATTGGGGAGGCAACGATATAAATGATAGAAAGAGTACAACGGGATATTTGTTTAAATTATTCGAACGATGCACAATATGTTGGAATACAAAAAGACAAGCATCGGTTACAGCTTCATCTACGGAAGCAGAGTACATGGCTCTTTTTGAAGCGGTTAAAGAAGCACTTTGGTTGAAGTCACTAGCAGTTAGTATAAATATCAGGATTGAGCATCCAATTATTATTTATGAGGATAATAAAGGTTGTATAAGTATAGCTAACAATCCAAGCAGTCACAAAAGATCAAAGCATATAGACATAAAATATCATTTTTCAAGAGAACAAGTTGAAAATAAAGTAATACAACTTGAATTTGTTTCAACAGAGAACCAGCTAGCGGACGTGTTAACGAAGCCGTTGCCAGCCATAAAATTTCTGGAATTTAGGGCACGAATGGGCGTGCAATAATTGAAGAATTATATACTTTAATATATATTTGAATATTTTTGAAATAATTGAAATAGTCTGATTAGGTTTTTCTGGGTTTCCCTAATCCTTGCAACAAATGTTGGGCTATGTGTAATTTTCCCAGGGATACAGAGTACGAGGAAGGAATGTCTTTATTATGTTATATTTGTTCTAAATATCAGTTGCTGAAATGTTGTAATTATTAAATCTGTTTAAGTAAAGTTGATTTATTTTTGAGGAGGCGTGTTGGATTATAAAGAGAAATGAGTATGTGTCTGTGTAATAGTAACGGCAAAAATAATCAACATACTGAGACAGATTAATATAAATATATATATATATAGAAATAACATAGTAACCATCTGTTTAGTATGGGTGACGCTGATATGTTTTTTTTTCTCTCAGTGTCTTGTCTATGTTTGTTTGATCGCATAGCGACGTGCCTTCCTCGCGTATCAGAATAAAGATTTATAATTAAAACAATATCTTTTATTTATTACCATAATTCTAACAGGTAATCACACAAATCCCGAGGATGAAAATAAAACGGACTTTGCTGTATTTATGGGTAAGTTCGAAAAGATGTTTGAACAAATGATGAATCAAAATAGTATTGAGGTGGGTGAGGAACGCCGTTGCGCTGTGTTCCGCAGCGTACCCACGGTTCAGCTTTCCTTTTTTCTATTCTTTTTTTTTCTTGCCGTTTATACGGCTCTTCGGGTGGCTAGCAATTTGTACAAGGGACCATATCCGAAATGCAAATTGCTGGCACGTTTATGATACGCAAGTCGGTACAGCCGTTTTTGAGAGTTGGTTCCTTTCTAATCCTCTAAATGGTATCTTTCAGAGTTTTTTCGTCCTCAACGGCTAATTGGAGGGATCGTAAACATGAATTTCCAAAGGGCCCCGAGACCGGACCCAGTGGCCATTGACCAGGTCATGTCTCGGGACCCAAGCCTGGCGGAAATTCCACCACGTTGCCAAATTGTCAATTATAACGCCTTCCACCCCCACTGACACTGTCTAGTCCGCACGGACTGCGTTTCGAGCGCACGGAATAGGTAGATGTCAATGGATTCATCATTCGATTGGCTTAGCCAATTACCAATCAGGTGACTAGACTGATCCCCGATTTTCCCTGGTCCGGAAAATTAGCGACGACGGAAGTCTACGAAAATTAGAAAAGCAGTTAAGACCAGAACTTTCACTAAGACACACTCAACTAAACAGAACACTACTCACTACCAAATAGAATAAATATATTGTTTGTTAAAACGCATTCCTACAATTTAATCATCCTTCTCACGCGAAATCGTGGTAAGGAATTTCGAGTCAACGCGGTGTTGAATAATCGAGTCAAGGATTTACGACCCTTGTAGGCACGAACTGCTACGGTCCGTGCCTCATCGCGGTGTCTCGCAAATATTTCTGGTCCTTCGAGCCGGATATCAGTGATAGTGATTAGTGAAAACAACACTAAGTGCAACAGACATTGAGTGTGACAAACATTTAAAGACATTAACAACCACACGCAATCTTCTGCGTGAATCCAACGCAACAAGCAACGGATCATCATTCTGACACGACAGTGTCCATCATCAGAGGGTCAATCAAGGGTCAATCGACAGAACTGCCAAACGTAGCAACCAGGCTGTGCAGCAAAGGTAGGCTCAATTTTGTATCGCCAATTCCTCTTACCCTTCCCTAGCATCATTCACGATGCCAAACAAAACGCTAGATCAATCTTCGGTTCAATCTCAGTCCGCCTCGCACGGAATAAGTCTCAGCTCCCTACAGCGCAAACACGGCAACATTATCGGGCAAATCACAACCTTCATAAAATTCCTCGAGTCGCAGGAACAATCAGAACTACGAAACATACCGCTTTTGCAAACGCACCTGAACGGTTTGAACGATGCTTGGAAGCGTTTCGACGATATCCAATTCCAGATTGAAGAATTAAACGAATCAGAAGCTCCACGTCGTTACGAAATTCAAGAGCAATATTACGACGTCATAACTCGCGCCGCGATCAAGAGCAATAATCACGCGACGGACCACAGTCGAATCATCCGCGCCTACCGTCACGGCCCCTATGGCTATAAAACTGCCGGAAATGCGTCTGCCCACATTCGACGGCACAATCGAAAAATGGACGTCATATTTCGATATATTTTGCTCGATGATCGATCGCAATGACGATCTCACCCCTGTACAAAAATTACAATACTTACGATCAACAGTAGTGGGAAAGGCCGCTACATGCATACAATCCCTCAGCATCACAGACGCCAACTACGCAGACGCATTAGAATTGTTAAAAGAAAAATACGACTGCACGCGAAGGATTTTATTAAGTCACTGCGACGCAATTCGAGATATTCCCGTGAATCAGCATCTTCGGGCGTTAAAAAATCTCGGCGAAAACATCGCGTCATGGAACAGCATCCCCGTTTCAATAATTTTGTCCAAAGTAAGCTCGGACACAGCGTGGCACTGGGAACTAACAATAAAAGACAAGAAGATGCCAGCGTATACTAGCCTTCTTGAGTTTCTAGAGAAGCGAGCAAACTGCGCTCCAGCCGCGGTCTCAAAACCCCTGCCCGCACCATCAGGAAGACAACACGAAAATTATCGGAACACCAGATTCGCAGCGCCGCGAGGTCACGCCTTTGTTTCAGTGCAGACATCTCAATGCATGATTTGCAATAACAATCATGAAACGCGATATTGCGCAACTTTGAGAGCGCAACCGGTCCAAGAACGCATAAAAACCATCGAACTTGCCGATCTGTGTCCGAACTGCTTAGGAAAAAAACATCCCATTAGATTATGCCCATCAGGATCATGTCGTGTTTGCAATAAAAAGCACCATACGCTATTGCATAAAACATGGCCCACGCAACAGTCCGAAAACAATACGTCGCCGTCGCCGCGGTCAAACCCTCGAACAATAGAGAACCCACCGGCCAGCTATCAACCATCGACGTCGGATTGACTAGGACAGTCAGAGACCCCAACGGAATCGAAGGTTCAAAACACCTTTATCATTAATTCCGTAACGGTTACGGCAAAAATCAATATCTTGGACCATAAACAGCAGCCGATACAATGTCGAACGTTGATCGACACGTGTGCGACCACAAACTTTATCACAGAAGAGTTGGCAAATAAACTTCTGTAAATAAAATCAACCGATTGATCGCCGCGCAATTAACATCCCCAGAAACATCAAGCTAGCCGATCCAGAATTCCATCAACCAGCGCCAATCGATTTATTATTAGGTGCAGGGACAGCGCTTTCATTGCTGTGTGTGGGGCAAATTAATCTAACACCATCCGAGAGTTCAGCCTTGTATTTGCAAAAAAACAAGATTCGGATGGGTAATCGGGGGGAGCGTTCCAAACTCACCTCCAACTCAACCTACTGCCTACCACGCCAACGTCGCTGATCTCCAAAATGATCTCACCCGATTCTGGGAAATCGAAGAGGGTCCACAAGTTCAGCATCTGTCCGAATCGGAGAGGATCTGCGAAGAACATTTCAAAGCCAACGTCGCACGCAACGAAGAAGGAAGATACAGCGTCGCATTACCCTTCAGTGACAAGATCGATAAACTGGGAGAATCGAAACGGCAAGCAATGAAACGACTTGTTTCATTAGAACGAAAGTTACAACAGAATCAATCAATCAAACAACAATATCACGCGGTCATTCAGGAATATTTGGATCTTGGACACATGTCCGAAGTCATGGTTGATAATACCGATCACCACGGATATTATTTACCGCATCACGGAGTTATAAAAACCACAAGCCAGACAATAAAGCTGAGGGTCGTATTCGACGGCTCCGCTCAAAGTAGCACAGGTGTATCATTAAACAACGCCTTACATACAGGACCGAAAATTCAGGAGGATTTACTATATATTTTATTAAGATTTCGCATTCACCGATACGTTCTTACGGGTGATATTGAAAAAATGTATAGGCAATTTCTTGTCCGCCCAAAAGACAGGAAATATCAAAGGGTTCTGTGGCGCGATGCCAATGGACAGGTAAAAACATTCGAACTGAATACCATCACATTCGGATTATCATCGGCCCCATACCTAGCCATACGTTGCCTCAATAAACTGGCCGAAGATGAAGGACACCGTTATCCCAGCGCAGCAAAAATCATTCAGCGTGATTTTTACGTGAGCGACGCGTTGACAGGAGCCTCAACAAAGGAAGAAGCATTAAGGCTAAGAGAGGAATTAACCCTTCTCCTAAAAGGCGCCGGTCTAAATATTAGACAATGGGCCTCGAATGACAGAGATTTATTACACGGTCTGGCAGAAAAAGAACTCAATCGCAATCTTGAAATTGGAGAATCTTCAACCCTCAAAACACTCGGAATATTCTGGAATTCTACAAACGACTCCATTCACTACGCGGTAAGAACGACCACACCCATAGGACGCATCACAAAGCGGACAATAAGTTTGGAAATCGCAAAAATCTATGACCCACTGGGTCTTCTCGGTCCGGTCATCATTACTGCCAAGATACTACTTCAAAAACTCTAGACCATCAAAGTAGATTGGGACGAATCTCTACCATCAAACATACATAACGAATGGGAAAGATATTATTTACAGTTACCACTATTGAATAACGTCACTTTCCAATGGAAAGCCATCGTCGATTCAGCTGTAAAACTAGAGCTACATGGCTTTTGCGATGCGAGCGAAAAGGCTTACGGAGCCTGCGTGTATCTCCGCTCCATCGACGAACACGGCCGCATCCGAATTGAACTTTTGGTCGCAAAATCAAGGGTAGCTCCTCTAAAATCACACACAATTCCTCGATTGGAATTGTGCGGAGCATTGCTCCTCGTTTCGTTAGCTAAGACAGTCGAAAATGCTCTACATATCCCGATCAATCACAGCTTCTACTGGACCGATTCCACAATCGTCCTCCATTGGCTTAACACACCTCCGAACACCTTGAAAACTTTCGTCGCCAATAGAGTGGCAGAAATTCAGGGGAAAACTAGCATTTCCAATTGGCGCCACGTCAGAACAAAAGACAATCCTGCTGACATCATCTCGCGAGGACAAACAGCAGAAGAGTTTCTTCAGCTATCCATCTGGCACCATGGTCCACCTTGGCTTGCCAAAAATCAAACACATTGGCCAACGTGGGAAGCTCCGGTAGTAAATGACATACCCGAACAGAAGATGACCATCTGTTTGGCTACAAACGTCATCGACGCCAGCATCCTCGAAAGGTATTCATCGTGGGAGAAACTCGTGCGCGTTGTCGCCCGTTGTTTGCGGTGGAGACCGAAACAATCTGCAAAAGGAGTTCTCACCACATCAGAATTACAACACGCGCGAAATAGTTTAATCCAATTATTACAGCAACTTCATTTTTCCGACGAGCTTCAATGCCTCAATAAAGGAAGGCTTTCAGGTATAAAGGGGAAACTTCAGAAATTGAACCCGTTCATCGATAAGGAGGGGATCCTGCGGGTAGGAGGACGCTTAATACATTCAATGATGCCATTACTCAAAAACATCCAATAATACTACCAAAATCATCCGTCACAGCATTCATCATTGAAGGCGAGCATAGAATACAATTACATGCAGGAACACAAGCAACACTCTACGCTGTCAGGAAGCGCTACTGGCCCATCGATGGGCGGAGCCAGGTTTGGAACGTCATAAAGGATTGCGTACGCTGCTGCCGAGTTCGACCACCGCCGGTCGAATACATAATGGGTAATTTACCCGAAGCTTGAGTAACAGAATCTCGCCCGTTTACGAACGTCGGAGTGGATTATTGCGGGCCATTCTATATTAAAGAAAAACATCATCGAAACCGCAATCGAATTAAAGCATACTGTTAGGGATTGGGTTTATGGCACGGCCGTTCTTTCATACGATTTTGAATGCACACCTTTCCTTTTTTTTGCCTTCAGCCAACTAAATCTTTTAAACTGTCAGCGAGGCCCAGGAAGCATTTATGGCGGTAGCAGCATAAAGTTTCTGCGCGCCACATGTCTTCCTGGTGCCCACTCGTGACCATCCGATAACCAGTGCCGTACCATAAAACCTTCCCCGTCGCCCCGACCGCTCAAGTCCCATTACGAGCGAGCTACCCTTGGACCTCATGCCCCCGCCAACGCGACGTACCACCACCCTGCCAACTGGGACTTCCAGGATGGGCGGTATGCTAGCGGGTCCTGGAGGACTGTCCGAAGGGTAGTCACGCTCTAATTGGCGCACACCATCACCTCCCACACATCCACTTTTCATATAAATAGCGACACAACACCCTCAAACGGGATGATTATTAAGATTTGTATAAAGATCGACATTCACACGCACACTACACTAAGACATTGATTATATCACCAAGTAATTTATTCTGAAATATAATATTGAAATACGTGTGACACTATTTATCTTCACCAACATCACACCATCCATCAAACCAACATCATCAAACCAGCGACAGCATAGCGCCACCACTCTCGAACATATTGCTTGTTCGAAGTACAAGACGCAACACATACGTCGCCGTCTTCGTATGTTTCGCGGTGAAGGCAGTTCACCTAGAGCTAGTGAGCGATCTCACAAGCGAAGCTTTTATTGCAGCATTAAGACGATTTATAGCTCGACGAGGATTCTGTGCAAATCTCTACTCGGACAACGGTACCAATTTCGTCGGCGCTAACAATGAGCTACGAGATCTCCGCGTACTCTTGCAATCAGATAATCACAAACAAAAGGTGCAATCGTTTCTTGCTAACCGATCCATAGAATGGCATTTTATGCCACCCCACACACCTCACTTCAGAGGACTCTGGGAGGCCGTGGTCAAGGCCTTCAAATATCATCTAAAACGCGTCGTCGGGGCTGAGCTTTTTACATTTGAAGATTTTAACACTCTCATTATAGAAATAGAATCAATCCTTAACTCTCGTCCACTCACACCTGTCTCATCCGATCCTAACGATCTCCTTGTTCTTTCACCTGGCCATTTCCTCATTGGCGACGCATTAATGAGCTTACGGGAGCGGGATTACAGAGATATTCCTCCGAATCGCTTATCGCGTTGGAAACATATCCAACGAGTAAAACAACATTTCTGGACCCGTTGGCGCCGGGAATATCTCAATGAGATGACCAGCCGCAATAAATGGGTAAAAGGCGATCACCCAATCAAGGAAGGTACAATCGTACTTCTCAAAGAGGACAACGTACCCCCAAATCAGTGGCCCCTAGGCAGAGTAATTAAAATCCACCCTGGCTCCGACGGTATGGTTCGTGCAGTTACTATTAAAACGAGCACGAACGAATTTGATCGGAATGTCAAAAAACTAGTCCCTCTGCCTAACCAATCTCAGGATGACAAGCCACAGCATCCAGCCTCCAAGGGGGACGACACCATTCCAAGGGAGCAGACCACCACGAAAGAATGAGAATAATATCACTCATTAACATATTGTACATACACATATAATCACATTTGATACATCAGCACACTTGTACACACACAATTCAATTTTGATCGGTAGCCTCTCAACGGGGGGAGGATGTTCCGCAGCGTACCCACGGTTCAGCTTTCCTTTTTTCTTTTCTTTTTTTTTCTTGCCGTTTATACGGCTCTTCGGGTGGCTAGCAATTTGTACAAGGGATCATATCCGAAATGCAAATTGCTGGCACGTTTATGATACGCAAGTCGGTACAGCCGTTTTTGAGAGTTGGTTCCTTTCTAATCCTCTAAATGGTATCTTTCAGAGTTTTTTCGTCCTCAACGGCTAATTGCAGGTATCGTAAACATGAATTTCCAAAGGGCCCCGAGACCGGACCCAGTGGCCATTGACCAGGTCATGTCTCGGGACCCAAGCCTGGCGGAAATTCCACCACGTTGCCAAATTGTCAATTATAACGCCTTCCACCCCCACTGACACTGTCTAGTCCGCACGGACTGCGTTTCGAGCGCACGGAATAGGTAGATGTCAATGGATTCATCATTCGATTGGCTTAGCCAATTACCAATCAGGTGACTAGACTGACCCCCGATTTTCCCCGGTCCGGAAAATTAGCGACGACGGAAGTCTACGAGAATTAGAAAAGCAGTTAAGATCAGAACTTTCACCAAGACACACTCAACTAAACAGAACACTACTCACTACCAAATAGAATAAATATATTGTTTGTTAAAACGCATTCCTACAATTTAATCATCCTTCTCACGCCAAAACGTGGTAAGGAATTTCGAGTCAACGCGGTGTTGAATAATCGAGTCAAGGATTTACGACCCTTGTAGGCGCGAACTGCTACGGTCCGTGCCTCATCGCGGTGTCTCGCAAACACGCTGGTTTCACCTCAATTTATTAAGATTTAAGTGCGATGGTCGGCGTACAGTTCGCCCTGAAAATATAATTGTTTTGTTCGCTAATTGTCCCGGCGGCAGCGGTTCGGTGGGTACGTTGCGATGGCTAGTAAAGGAAAAACTGACCGGAGGTGTAGGCGTATTGGGTTTTTATATTGTTAGGACAGGGAGACAGGAGTAGAGATAGATAAAGATAGAAGTGGCGAAAGTGGTGGAAACGGAAAATTCGTAGAAAGCGGGGCCGTTCGTCCTCGTGCGAACCTGGATGCCACATGTGCGCTTCTTAGGCTACTCAAGGACGAAGGCAAGTCTTAACCCGGGGAGAGACAAAAGAACGGAAACCAAAATCTGAAGGAGTTGGAAAAGAGAAAGTTCGCGTGGAAGAATAGAACCAGGTTCGGTAAGGGCTTGTTGGCAGCGACGTACCCGCCACAGTATGATCACTAACCTGCTAATAACAGTCATTAAAAACACACAAATAGTAAAATGGATAGTTCACTAAAAATTGCTGTTTGGAACGCCAATGGTCTAGCCCAACGAAAACTAGAAATAGAAATGTTCCTTAACGTGCAAAAAATCGATATACAGTAAAGATTCTATAAGAGTTCGTTGGGATCTACACGATAACTGTTCATAGTCTATCCCCACCACAAGGGGGGACCACCCTTGAACCAGGCAAGCGAATAATGTGATACGGTCACGGCATCTCCTTATCTCATTCGGTGGCGGCATGTCCGTGAGACAATACTAACAAAACTACAAAACTTTGTTATTTTCAATTTTTCGTTAATACAAATTTTATCAAAATATTGGTGAGGTTTTCCTGATTAAAATGATATCAAACACGATATTGTTACAAAACTTGGTTGTGTCGATTGGGCTTGTGAATCTTCCTTTGCCCACTACGTTTTTCTACGTTCATTTCACTGTTTGCATCTACAGAATGTAACACCATTTTTGTAAGGGTCTCACAGCTGTGCCAAAAAGGAACCGTTATCCAGAACTAGAACTGAACCTATCTGGTTATTCTCAAATGGGCCACTCTTCTACAGAATAACGGTTCGTAAGCGGCATTGCCTTTGATCAGTTATGGAATAGGAAAAAACGAATTTTGACCTCTGACGAGTTTAAAGGACACATAAGAATACACATAGGAGTTGTTATACTAACGTTTACACTACTCAGGACTCTTCACAAGCAGTTCGCAAACAGCTTGCTCTGGGGATCAAGAATAATAAACCCTAAAGGTAGAGAATTACAAAAAGCATTAACGACAAACGGATATCGAGTTCTCAGTACAGGTAAGCCGACTTACTGGCCCACAGACAACAATAAACTACCTGATTTACTAGATATTTTCATAACAAAACGAATTGCTCCTCATCACACTGTCACACTGACATTAACATCCACAACACTAATCAAAGATAAAAAAACCATCCTTATACAACTCTCGCACAGACTGGGATAATTTTAAATTATATCTAGACGATCATATAAATTTAGCCATACCAATAAAAACAGAAACTGACACTGAACGTGCTGTACAAAAATTAACCGAAACTATTCAACATACAGCATAAATCAATACACCAAGCGAAGAATGGAAATCCATGGAATTAGCAAATTACCCGAAATATATTCTATAAAAGAAAAAATCTTGATAAAAGGGCTGCTAAGCGAAAATGGCAACTCAGTAGGCACCCGTATGACAAAAACATACCAAACAAACTAAGCAGACAGTTAAAAAAACTACTGTACAAATACAAAAATGACAACATTAAGTATTATATTCAAAAACTTTCACCATACTCAGACACAGATTGTTCGCTCTGGAAAGCGACAAAAAAAACTCAAAAGGCCCATACAGCATAATGCCCCAATTCGAGAAGAAGATGGATCATGGGCAAGAGAAGATAAGGACAAGGCAGAAAGTTTCGCAGAGTATCTAGCAGGCATATTTACACCACACGATATATCGTCAACTATAAAAGATCTGACAGATATAACAGTCTACCTGAACTTACCTCTGCAGCCCTGCCATCCGATTAAACATTTCTCGCCGACGGAAATTAAAGCAGAAATAAAATTATTAAACAACAAGAAGGCACCCGGATACGATCTGATAACAGCAAAAGTATTAAAAGAACTACCTAAAAAAGCCGTGGTAGCTATAACTCAAATCTTCGACGCAATTATTCGAATACAGCATTTTCCTATACAATGGAAATTCGCAGAAATAATACTAATTTTAAAACCAGGCGAACCACCCCATGACACTACATCATATACTACCCCTGGCAATAAGTTTGGAACCAAACGCAAAGATACGAAACTAACGAAAAATACTAACATTTTTTATATATAAAATGCAACGGTACACGTATGAAATGCACAGTAGTGTTAAATTGGTCTATTTTATAGTAAAAACACAAAAAATTATTAAGTATTTCGTTTATTATGCAATAAAAAATATAAATGAAACAAAATGTTGCATGGAAATAAGTATGGAACGAACCCAAGTTCTGGAAAAAAGTATGGAACATTATGAATTTGCAAAGAAATTAACAATAATTTATTTAATGTTTATGTCACCTAGTATTTTGTGACATTCCCACGTGCATGTATCATAGCTTGTACATGTTTTGGCATCGATGTTATTAAATTTTCACACTGTGATGGCGAAAATGGGGAAAATTTGTTTCCATGAAAATTTAATAGCTTCTAAAAGTTTATTCTTATTTTTTGGCTTTTTGTCGCGTATAAATTGTTTCCAGAGTGCCCATAAATTTTCAATTGGACTTAGGTCTGGGCTATTTGCTGGCCATTGTATAGTTCGAATGCGTTTTTGTTGTAAGTAATCTTGAACTTTTTTGCTGCGATGACAACTTGCATTGTCATGCTGGAAATAAAAATCGTCCGAATCTTCGTACCACTGTTCTACAAAAGTTGTCTAATATATACATATATATTTCGGAGTCCACATTTTTGTACAAAATGCACATTTGTCCAATTCCTTGAGCTGTCATACAGCTCTACACCATATATGACTGCGGATATTTCTTTTTAAAATTCAAATAATCTTCGTTAAATTTTTCAGCAGTTGTTCTCCACACGAAGTGTCCTGCATCATCTCCTCCTCCGATGCACACACACGATTCATCGTTAAAGATTACTTTACTCCAATCCTCTGTAGTCCAATGTGCATATTTCTTACACCATTCCAAATGTTTTTTTCTATGTTCTTTACGTAAAGAATACCCCATTTCATGTAATCTATTTCGTGCAGTTCGATCGGATACGTGTTGTGCCCACTTCTCATTAATTTCTTTAGATGTGGGTCTTCTCATTTCCTTTACGATGTGTCTTAATTTTCTGTCAGCTCTTGTTCACGTTGACCGCGGACGTCCGCATCTTTTACGAGTTTTTTTTTTAGAATAGTGGGATGAAAATCATGAAGTAACTAACTAATATTCTACGTCTACACTGGATTGGATATTTATGAGCAATGTGAAAAAAATGTATAGTATATGCATAAAAAACCTAAAAAATGATAAAGATGTGCTTCTTCAAGCTATGGAAAATTAACATGGGAAAACATTTCTACCACACAATCTGAAAATATTACAATATCGATGCCAAACCCTATGAAATTTGTGATACATGCATTTAAAAATGTCACAAAATAGTAGGTAATATAAATATTGAATAAATTAGTGTTAATTTCTTTGTAAATTTATAATGTTACATACTTTTTTCCAGAACTTCGGTCTGTTCCATACTTATTTCCAAGTAACATTTTGTTTCGTCTATATTTTTTATTATATAATAAACGAAACTCTTAATTATTTGTTTAGTACTTATTTTAAAATAGACCAATTTAACGTTACCATACATGTCATATACATATCGTTGCATTTTATATATAAAAAAATTTGGTATTCCTCTTTCGTTTCGTATCTTTGTGTTTGGTTCCAAACTTATTGCCAGGGGTAGTAGACAGACCGATATCACTATTGCCGATTTTATCTAAACTGCTGGAAAAACTAATCTAGAAAAGACTACAGGTCATTATAAATAACAGCAACATTACTTTAGGAAAAAGCACTCCACACAAGAGCAGATTCATAGAATAGTAAATACTAAAGAAAAAAGTCTTGAAGAATGTTCCGTCGCGCAGGCACGAACCACGAGGGGTCTTCGTTGGCCGGGTTTATGGCACCCTGGCACCAGAAGGTTATTTTTGAGAACAAAGACGCTTCGTAGCTCCGCGAAAAAATAAGTAATTTCTTACAAAACAATGCCTTTAGAATTTCGACTTTTCCGCGTCCTCAATAACCGAAGACGTGTCATAAACCAGATATTCCTGAAGGGTCAATCCACACGCGCGTATAACGGCACTCTTGGCCGAGGGTTGACCTGGCGGGGACAGCCAAGATTCCACGCACCCGCAGGTAGGGCCCCACTCCTTCCAAGGAAAAGCGCGCTAAGGGCGCAATGGAAGGGTGGGTGACACTCAAGGGGCACGTTGATTGGTAATTTGTGTGTACGTGAAAAACCAATCAGCGTGCCTTCTTACATTTGGCGAGGGAGTCACGGCGGACTCCAGAAAAATTCGAGGATCGGCAAAAACATTCGCAAAGATTCTCTCGAGCGAACAACAGATACTCTCCAGCCTTTCGAGGAGAAACATAACGTGTATTTCAAGTCACGATCGATCACTAGAGTCATTTCAAAACAACGTCGTCAATCGTTCGTAACGTACTCTACGTTTTGCTAACGTTCCGAGCAAAACAAAATTTGAATTAGTTACCTAAGATTGATTTGGCAGGTAACAGACGCGAACGCGAGTTTTGAACATTTACAAAAGAGCGCGACGCGACATTTTTTGGTCCTTCGAGCCGGATCCACGGCCTACGGACGAACAGAGCAACCGCTGGACTCCGTAATCACCGTACGGCGGAACAGCAGGGAACTCGCAGGAAGCTGCACATCAAGGAGACCAGACCAGAGGAACAGCTAACAATTGGAGCCAACAATCGAGCGGCAGGAAACTCCTGATGTACTGTCTTCAGTCAAGGTAGGCTCGTTCCGAATTGCCAATCAGTTTCCATAACACGCACATTCCAGTCCTTCTGTTTCCGTAATTTCATAATCGTGTAGCGTCGACTTCGTAAAAAAAAAAAAAAAAAAATGGCTAACACAAACGAACCAGAGCCAGAAGAATCGCCTGTAAACTTCCTTAAAACAAAACGCCGGACGTTCAAATCACAATTAACGATGTTCGGTAAATATGTTAACGCATATCGAGATCGTTGCGGATGGATGCGTAGACAGTTTGAAACGTTCAACGCAGTACAAGATGAATTGGCGCATTCCGACAATTTCGAAGAAGCAGAAGCGGAACGCGAGACGATTACCGAAATCTACGATCAAGCAGCCGCGACCGCAACAGTAATATTAGAACAACTAGAACGCTCAGAACAACAATCACCCGTCGGAAGGCGCGAGAAAATTCGACGGACGTTTGGAAAGGTAGATCACCTTCAAGGACGCATTCACAACGATGATACACGCGCAACGGGGCCTTAGTAATATACAAAATCTCCATTACCTCCGGTTATCACTAACAGATAAAGCAGAAAACAATACGGGCGTTTGCGATCAGCGACGACAATTATGAGGCCGCGTGGAAGTAATTAGTCGAAGTCTACGACAATAAACACGTTCTTGTCCTGCGTCACGCCTCATTGTTGCGCGACACGCCGCCGATGGCCGACGACTCGTCGGAGGCAATAGGAGATTTAGTCAACCACATGCAACTACACGTACGTTCCCTTCAGGCACTCGGCCGGTCCTGGGAGGACATCGCGAACGATCTGCTAATCACAATCGCGATCTCAAAGTGTCCATGGATACCCATAAGGCGTGGGAACGAACGCTGAAAGACACAGAAGTTCCCAAAATCGCGGACATTTTCAAACACCTGTGCATAGCATCACATCAGTTGAAAGATTCCGAATCGACACCGACTCCCCCTCGAGCTGAGAATTCGAATATGGGTGCGAAGCACGACTCGCGACGAACAGGGTCACCGTGAAACTCACCTCCGTCACCGCGAAATTCGCCCCCGTCACCGTGAACGCAAAGGAAAAAAACGTACGCCACGTCGGTAAAGGCAAAACCATCGTGCAAGATCTCCAGAGAAGGAACGCATGACATATATCTCTGCAAAAAATTCCGTGAGATGCCGGTCGAGGAACGCTACAAGGCTGCGCAAACGATCACAGCTTTGTTTGAATTGCCTGCGACCAGATCATGCAACCAAAGACTGCAAGTCCGGGGGGTGTCGCGTTTGCGATCGGCGATATAACACAAAATTACATAGCGACACCATAAATTACGAACGAGACTGACTAGAGACACACACGGAACCGTTGACATTAAAACGACGAGGCATTACACTAATATCCGACAATAAATTCAATGTCGAACACTGATGGACACATGTTCGAACGCAAATTTCATCACGGAAGACCTCGCCACGAAACTGCGTCTTCCGATGAAAAAGCAAGCAATCGCCATCGAAACACTGAACCACCAAAACACCAGCACGAACAAACTCATCACAGATAACATCAAATCACGGATCTCTAATTATCAACGAACGTTAACCTTTTTCGTAATACCACAAATTTCAGGGCCGCTGCCAGATATTCAAATCGGTCGTAAAATAATTAAAATTCCTCCGAATATTCAACTAGCCAACATTTCCACATTTCCATAGACCAGCACCAGTCGACATGTTGATAGGCACCGGCACGACACTATCATGTTTGAGCATAGGACAAATCGATCTTTCACAGTACAACGGTTCAGATCTAATTTTACAAAGATCCAAATTGGGATGGATCATCGGGGGGAGCGTACCATCGGTCGTGCCACGCGCGTCGCGTAAGGCATACAGTCTGTTCCACAAAAGCGTGGACGCGATATTTTCGAAACTTGAGGTCAAATGAGGGAGAGATTGTGTTAGCATAAAAATATGAAGTTCCCTCTTATACGCATTAGCTTTAAATCTTTTAGTATCGTTTTTGTTACTGAGAAATACGGACCTTTTCGAGATGAGTGCCGTGTACGCCAAAAGTTTCAAGGCAGTCTTCTTGTGTTATCACCCAAAAGGACGAAAAATGAGTGTTAAAAATGCAGAAAAATATATGCATTAATCTCGTAAATTCGTTAATAAGTAGACACAACGATATAAAGAAACTGAATGTGCCGATGACCTCCCAGATCGAGATTCAAAGCGCGGTACCACGAAAAGGGAAGACAAAGTGATCTTCCGGCTATTTTCAAGGAATCCAACATTTTGCTTGCGTAAAGGGCAAGCTTTTTTGGTAAAAAGGGCATAAATATAGGGATTTTGACATTAAAAGGTCGCTTGACAGAAAATAATGTTTGATGGAGCAGTACATTATCGAAACCGTTGCTTTCAAGGAAGCACGACGAAAGTCGGCTGGCGTGGGCACACGAAAAAGTTGATCGCGATTGGAGTGGTGTATTCAGTGATGAAGCATCTTTTTCGGCTTGAAGTATCAGATGTGCCTGGTCTGTTTATGAAAATCCAATTGTCCAAAGACGTGTTAAACATCCATTCGAGAAACATGGAGGTCTCTACCACTCTCATATACCACGAAATTGGTCGAAAGTATACCTAGACGTTGTCAAGCAATAATCGCTAATGGTGGAGATTGGACACGCTGTTAATTAAGTGCGTATTAGTTTATTAGACGTAGTTTCGATGTATATAAAATTTTTTACAGAAAGAATTAATTTTCACAGAGATATCGCGTCCACGCTCTTGTGGAACAGACTGTACATGACTACCACGGATTTTGACATCAAGAAATTCTGGGAAATGGAAGAGGGACCACACATTCAGCACCTCTCCTCCGAACAACGCGAATGCGAGGACCACTTCACCAGGTACACCAAACGTGATAAATCCGGACGCTATGTGGTTGCTTTACCATTTAATGATAAGAAAGATCAGATCGGGGAATCTTATTCGCGCGCTTTCAACCGATTCCTCTCGTTGGAGCGGAAATTAAATCGAGACGCAGAGTTAAAACATAATTACACCGCGGTTATCGAAGAGTACCGTGCGCTCGGTCATATGACGCAGGTAAGACCGTCCCACTCGCCGGGTTTCTACCTGCCTCATCACGCGGTCGAAAAACCGTCGAGCACGACAACAAAGGTTCGCTTAGTATTCGATGGCTCCGCGAAATCGAACAGTGGCCTTTCTCTAAACGACGCACTAATGACCGGCCCCACAATACAAAGCGACATCTTCTCGTTACTCCTACGTTTCCGGATGCATGCGTACGTGCTAACAGGAGACATAGAAAAGATGTACCGGCAGTTCTTCGTGCGTCCAGCCGACCGATCGTATCAGCGCATATTATGGAGAGATCAAACCAACCAGATAGCGACATACGAGCTTAACACTGTCACTTTCGGACTGACCGCGCTCCGTATCTCGCCATACGATGTCTGCACCAACTCGTAATCGACGAAGAAAGGAATTTTCCCCACGCTTCAGCAGTCGTGAAGCGCGATTTATACGTCGATGACTTACTGACCGGTGCCAATTCGATGGAAGAAGCAGAGCGATTATGAGCGCAAATCATCGCTCTCTTTCAAAGGGGAGGATTAAACATCCAGCAGTGGGTTTCAAACGAGCCACAACTTCTATTGGGATTGGATCAAACCCAACTTCATTCGAAAATTCTAGGCAACACGACAGTCATGAAGAGTCTCGGAATTTCATGGGATGCGCGGAACGATACACTACTGTACACGGTCGAACCTCCTACGACAACCGATATCACAAAACGAACAATATTATCAACGATAGCGAAGATATTCGATCCTTTGGGGTTGCTTGGACCGGTCACGAGAACAGCTAAGATTATTATACAACGTCTGTGGCAGCTAAATGTTGATTGGGATGAATCTCTCCCAGCCAGCATCCATACCGAATGGATCGCCTTTGTCGAACAGCTCCAACAACTCAACAACATCAATTTAACAGGAACGTCACTCAACAAGGGCTTCAAGGGATCGAAATACATGGGTTTTGCAATGCGAGTGAACAGGCTTACGGAGCTTCCATCTACATCCAAACAATTAACGAAGACGGTCGTATCGAAACCAATCTTCTCTGCGCCAAATCACGCGTCGTGTCGTTAAAAACCGTTACACTCGCGCGATTAGAATTATGCGGTGCCGTATTATTAGCCTCCTTGTATACTACCGTTCGGGAGGCCATCACACACAAAATCGACAACGTTTTCCTCTGGACCGATTCAACCATCGTCATCAATTGGATCAAGAAACAACCGTCCGCGCTGGAAACTTTCGTGGCCAACCGGGTAGCAGAAATCCAGGAAAAAACAGACAGTGTGACTTGGCGGCACATCAAGTCACAATGCAACCTAGCAGATTGTTTATCACGTGGACAAACCCCCGCGTAGTTTACCACCAATCTAGAATGGCGACACGGACTGGAGTGGCTCTCTAAGGAGGAACCAGATTGGCCAGAATCCAAATTAACGATCATTAACGAACTACCGGAACTCAAACGTTTAACATGTCTCGCAACAATGGTTCCTGTATCAACAAACTTCGTAGAATCGTCGCCTACGACCTACGGATGAGGAAATAAAATCGCATAACGGGTCCATTGAATACAGACGAGATTCGAGAAGCAAACGTAAGAATCATTCGGCTATTACAAGCAACCACGTTCGCTCAGGACATTCATGGTCTGAAAAATGAAGAAGGTCTGAACATTAAAAGCAAACTCATCCCTCTGAATCCGTTTCTCGATAATCAGGGAATTTTACGGGTTGGAGGCCGATTCCAACATTCAACTCTTCCATTTGCTCAGAAACACCCAATACTTCTACCAAGAGGCCATCACCTAACTACACTTATAATCCGAGACGCTCATCATCGAAACCACCACGCGGGCATCACGTCGACTCTTTACAACGTCCGACAAGAATATTGGCCCATCGACGGAAAGAATACGACGCGAAAAATCATCCGCCAATGTGTCAAATGTTTCCGGCACAACCCACCGACCACCTCATGGGAAATCTTCCAGCATCCCGTGTGACACAAAACCGGCCTTTTTATAACTGCGGCATAGATTACTGCGGTCCATTTTATATAAAAGAACGGCGCCATCGGAATTAAGCGCGAATTAAGATATATGTCACGGTTTTTATCTGCCTTGCGACCAAGGCCGTGCACTCAGAAGCGGTAAGCGATATGACGACCGAAGCCTTTGTCGCCGCTTTGAAACGGTTCGTCGGACGAAGAGGAGTCTGCAAAAATATCTATTCCGATAACGGTACGAACTTTGTAGACGCAAACAATGAATTATGGTAGCTTCACGAAGCTCTCCAAGGTGACGACAAGATGCGAAATTTCCTTATCGGAAAGTAAATCACATGGCACTTCATGCCTCCCTTGTTGCCTCATTTTGGTGGTGTTTGGGAAGCGGCGGTAAAATCCTTTAAACACCATCTAAAACGTGTAGTCGGTGAAGAACTGTTCATCTACGAGCAGTTCGAAACCTTCGTTATCGAAATCGAGGCTATACTTAATTCATGTCCTTTGACTCCTCTCTCATCCGATCCTAACGACCTAAGTAGTGTAAACGTTAGTATTTTAATACTTTTGCTGTTATCAGATCATATCCGGGTGCCTTCTTGTTGTTTAATAATTTTATTTCTGCTTTAATTTCCGTCGGCGAGAAATGTTTAATCGGATGGCAGGGCTGCAGAGGTAAGTTCAGGTAGACTGTTATATCTGTCAGATCTTTTATAGTTGACGATATATCGTGTGGTGTAAATATGCCTGCTAGATACTCTGCGAAACTTTCTGCCTTGTCTTTATCTTCTCTTGCCCATGATCCATCTTCTTCTCGAATTGGGGCATTATGCTGTATGGGCCTTTTGAGTTTTTTTTGTCGCTTTCCAGAGCGAACAATCTGTGTCTGAGTATGGTGAAAGTTTTTGAATATAATACTTAATGTTGTCATTTTTGTATTTGTACAGTAGTTTTTTTAACTGTCTGCTTAGTTTGTTTGGTATGTTTTTGTCATACGGGTGCCTACTGAGTTGCCATTTTCGCTTAGCAGCCCTTTTGTCAAGATTTTTTCTTTTATAGAATATATTTCGGGTAATTTGCTAATTCCATGGATTTCCATTCTTCGCTTGGTGTATTGACTTATGCTGTATGTTGAATAGTTTCGGTTAATTTTTGTACAGCACGTTCAGTGTCAGTTTCTGTTTTTATTGGTATGGCTAAATTTATATGATCGTCTAGATATAATTTAAAATTATCCCAGTCTGTGCGAGAGTTGTATAAGGATGGTTTTTTTATCTTTGATTAGTGTTGTGGATGTTAATGTCAGTGTGACAGTGTGATGAGGAGCAATTCGTTTTGTTATGAAAATATCTAGTAAATCAGGTAGTTTATTGTTGTCTGTGGGCCAGTAAGTCGGCTTACCTGTACTGAGAACTCGATATCCGTTTGTCGTTAATGCTTTTTGTAATTCTCTACCTTTAGGGTTTATTATTCTTGATCCCCAGAGCAAGCTGTTTGCGAACTGCTTGTGAAGAGTCCTGAGTAGTGTAAACGTTAGTATAACAACTCCTATGTGTATTCTTATGTGTCCTTTAAACTCGTCAGAGGTCAAAATTCGTTTTTTCCTATTCCATAACTGATCAAAGGCAATGCCGCTTTGAGACCAAACACGGTATAATTCGGTGTATATTTAGTTACTTAATAAGAAATTCACAAAGGAAAATTCACAAGCCCAATCGATACAACCAAGTTTTGTAACAATATCGTGTTTGGTATCATTTTAATCAGAAAAATCTCACCAATATTTTGATGAAATTTTTATTAACGAAAAATTGAAAATAATAAACTTTTGTAGTTTTGTTAGTATTGTCTCACGGACATGCCGTCATTAAGATGAGTTCAACAAGTACAATAAGTACCTACCAATATGTTCAATTTTAAATTATTGGAAACTTCCTTCTATGTGAACCCTCTCCACATGTCCTCCATTATTGTACTCGTTGAACTGGTCTTAACATACACTATCATATTATGTATAAAAAAATATAGCATTCCATTTAAGAAAATTAAACTGACTTTGAAATCTCCCCCACCATACCCGGTAAAAAAAAAATATTTATACCACATAATCCCCCCCGTACCAAACAACTTTTATTAAAACATTTTTTTCCTAACATCACTTCCTTAAAAGATATTTCGCTGTATTGAGATAAAACAGACACCCTGTATAAACTCAAGTCTTATCTACCACATGATTACTACAGACTCCTTCACATTGGCGACGGATGACGCGTATACGCGTCATTCAAGTTCTTTACTTGGGTACGGATGACGCGTAGATTAGCAATTTGAGCAATATGTTTTTACACACTATATAAATATTGACTTTCCTCTATAGAATAGCGTTTGAACGTTTTTATTTCATGCATTCATTTCGAAGTTATGATCATTTGAAGTCAGAAAGTTTCAATTCGAATTCCGAAGTACCGTCAACTTCATCTACACTTTTTATAACTTTCCCATCACATTTGAGATAAATAATTGTGCGTTTATGATGCCTTAGGACTTATAGAATGATGCCTCGTTAAAATTTTAGATGCCTGAACTGCTACAAATTTGGCACTTTCTTAACATCCTCCTTTTATTGTCCACGTCGAATCATCTTACGACACTGCGACGCGATCCGAGACATTCCAAAAATCACAAAAACCACGCCGAAAGCCTTAGGAAATTTGGTTGATGCAGTGAAACAACACCTACGCGCATTAGAAAATTTAGGAAAGCCAATAATATCGTGGAACTCCTTCTTAGTTTCCATCATTGTGTCCAAAATTGATTCGGACAGCACATAGCATTGGGAGCTCACGCTGAAGGACAAGAGCATGCCCTCCTACAACAGCCTCTTAGACTTTTTATGGGCAAATTGCGCATCGACCATGCTGCCAAGGGCAATATCGATACCCAATCGATTAGGGGAGCATCAAAGAACCATTAGATCATGGCCATCGCGAGGACATCTCCGCGAGAATCCCTTCGTGTTCTATTTGCAAGGATCCTCACCATATCAGGCAGTGCGAGATATTCATGGCAAAAACCGTGAAATATTGAATCACGGTTATCGCCAACACATCACTTTGTACAAACTGTCTCGGAAAAGGACACACCCCACAATACTGCCGAGCAGGTACCTGTCGGGTATGCAATCAACGGCACCATACCCCGCTACATAACAGAGGTGAACCGCAAAAATATCGAGACACCGCTACAACAATACTCCTTCACACCAACGACTCGTCAAAAAATCAATCGCGTAAGAATTCCGCAAAGCCAACCACGAGTAAATCGTCGATGTCCGAATGACAGCGGCATCCAGAGGCTCAAACGGAGAAACAAAACAATTTCTTTGCAGATTCGTTCAACGACACGTTGTTAGTCACAGCTCAGATCAATGTATTAAATAACAAACAAGTACCGATACGCTGCCAAGCATTATTAGACACAAGCGCGACTACAAACCTCATGACAGAAAAGCTCGCGAATCAACTAGGCATAACGCAAAGAAAATGTTTTGTTCCCATCGGAGTCCTCGACACAATGTCAACGGCATCAAAACGAGCAATCGTAGCCACCATTAAATCCAACGACATCAATTATCAGCGCACGTTAACGTTTTTGACAATTCCGAACATTTCGCCGCTGGTTCCGGAGCAGCCAATTGAGCGGTCAACATTAAACATACCAAAAAACATAAAACTAGCCGATTCGAATTTCGATCGTCCAGCATCCATCGACATGCTCCTAAGCGCTG